AAACTTATTTTTTTCCAAAAAAAATTCTTTTTTTTTCCATGTCAGTTTCAAAATAAATGACATAGAATATAAATATCACATCAGTTTTTTTAAAAAAATTAACAATTAGTGATAATTCTTGTAATAAGTGAAGAAAATTTTGATCTTTTCACCAGAAATTTTTTTTTGAACTTTTCTCTCTTGAATTAAACTAAAATTTAAAAAAAAAATTGGACTCATCTGAAATTAAGTTTCTACAAAGATACTTAACTGAAATTTTTTCAAAATCCTTCTTGTAATAGGATATTGTTAAATAAAATAAATGCCACATGTTAAATAACATTTACATAAATACTTGTAAATTATTTAAACAAACCCATGCACCTATAATAAAATATGAGGCTGATACAACAATTTTACCAACTCAAGTTGCTGTAAATGTAAAGAATGCTTTTAAGAGTTATTTTCAATTAAGTCCAACAAAGGTACAGTAGTACGTGGCCAGCATGGCGGCGACTCTTTTGTGAACAAATTCAGTGACAGAGAATAATGCCAAAGTGTGAGTGAAGATGAAGAGAGCAACATCCCCAACGATCTCACATGCTCCCTTGTTCTCCGGAGTCTCTCACTATCATTATCTGCCTTTCTTTTACTTCCTTATTAATTTACATAGCTGTCAGAATCTCCAGAAATTCCCTTCACCACAACAAAACATAACAAAAATATCATATCATTATCATTATATTACTATGCTCGAAGCTTTGTTTTTTATTGTTATGTAAATTTTCAAGGTTAAAAATAAACAAATATAGAAGCATTGTGCTGTCGTCTTACACTACAATCAAATTGCCATAGATGATTAAACTTTTTGGATAACTAGAATCAGGTAAAAAAAAAAAGGAAAATGTTAAAAATCACCCCCATTTAAGATAAAACACTAATTAAGACAGCACTATATTTATATATCATATCAGTGCTTACATAGCGATTTTGTATGCATATTATTTTTCCATTAAAAAAATTCAATCACTAGAAAACGATGATAAGAAGTATAGAAAAGACATGTTAAGGGTAATAAATAACGTTGCTCTATTTGTTTCACTTTCACAATTAACTTAATTAAGAGCCTAAATGCAATGCTAAGATATTACTTTTTCCTTTCCTTTCCTTTGTTTTTTTAAGTCACATTAAGAGGATATATTTCAACTTGGGCTAGCTTTAGATGGCTCACGGGATATTACTATTACCATTTCTATTGAAGTAAATTATGTCGATTTTAAGGGAGCATCAGGGTTTACTTCTTATTTTTAAAATTTAATTAATTTCTTATTAATATATAGAATAAGTTATACAAATTTATATTAATTTTACAGAAATCATGCAGAACTTTCTGTAGAAAATTAATGTACATTTTAAAATAAAAAAATTGTGCAATTTTTCAATTTTTCATTATTGATTTATGTAAAATTACTGGAAACTAATCTATAAATTTTCTTTATCATATGGTTTGTCTTGACTCTTGACACTGCATGCCTGAAATTTAACCCAAACTTTATTTAATACAAGTAATAATGATTAACTTCTTTTCATCAATTGGTCAATTTTAAAATCAAAGTTCCCGTTATGAGATTCTCACGGCACCAAATGGCCTTGTATTGTATACTCCCTCCGTTTTTATATATTAAAAAATATATATCAACCATACAGTTTAAGAAAATAAGTTACTTATAATAATTATATTTAAAAAAAATTAAACTAAAATATTCTATATTAATTAACATAAACATGCATTAGTAGTTTCTTGTTAGGGGTGATTTAGAAAATTCATAATACATACTTATTGAGATATGTGATTTTACTTATAAAAAAATACAAATCAAGGATACAGTTTTTTTAATAAATAAAAATAGAGAGAGTATTAATGAGGTATATAGTTTTTATTTTTATTTATATAATAAAAAATAAGAATATTCGGATTTTTTTGGCCCAGCAGAATATATTGAGATCTTAGATCTATATTTATTTTTTATTTTCATAATGAAAGCTGGCATCCACTTGTATGAAAATGTTGTCGTTGGATTCCCACACAAGATAAATATGTTTGTTCTGGCATCCACTAGCGTTCTTAATAAAATTAAATATTTTTATTCACAATTTTTATGTCTTTTTTTTTTTAATTTGAATATTTTTTTTTTGCGTAGTATCGCTTTTAGAAATAATTTTTTTAAAAGCATGTTAAAACCATGTTCAGCTTATATATATTGATAACAGTATTGAAGTACTTGAATCATTAATACTATCCTTTTCAATTTTCTAACAACAGTATTATAAATGCTGAATATTATAATACTGTTATGATTTAATTTGTTTAAACTATACTTTTTTTAATAATGTATGGAATATGATAATTGAGTTAGATTATCTATGACTTACAAATAGTGTAGTTTGATATGAATTTTGTAATTTATTTTGATATTGATCATTGATAATCGATAATCACATTTATATTGATATGTTAAAGATTGAATAATTTAAAATGCAAAACGTGATGTTGTGAACTCAAAAACAAAAAGAAACATCTTGATAAAGATTGTTCGCTCCTTGAAACATATATATGGAAAAGCAAATGGAACTCAATATTCTCTAAGAAAAATCATCAAGAAACTGATATTGGTTTCTACCCCCCCCCCCCAACAAACTCTAAATGACAGTCTACTACAAACCTCTTAAGTGAGGAAAATGAAAGATCTAAAGCTAAATGAAACTTCTTGAAGCAGGTTGGGTCCAACCCGACATTGATGGTTCAACAAATATCAATGGGGCGCTTTTGCTTGTGGAGGCCTCATATGTGATGATCAAAAGAATTAAATTAAAATTTTTTCAAATATCTTGAATATCATTCAAGCACAAGTATCCAACTCCTAAGCATCTTTGAGGGAATCAAGCTTTGTTGGAATGCTAAACTCACTAAAATTTACATCTACACTGAGTTTTTAGGAGCTTTGTCACTCATCCAACACAATTTTTACCATAATCATCACTTTCTAAAATCATTAATAAAATTAAAATTTTGCTATAAGAGATTGAATTATCATTTTTAACCACGTTTTTAGATAAGCAAATAAATGTGTTAATCTTCTTGCTCATGAGTCACCTAGAGGCAATTTTAATATTATTATCTACGATGATCCCCTTTGAATACAAAGATATAATGGTCTCTGATATGAGTTGATTTACTTGTTCCTTTTACAGTTTATCTATGGTCTTGTATAAAAAAAATGAATGATATTGATACGTGACAAAGATGAGAAAACGACAAAAATTTAAGGTGGAGCAATGGACCTAATTTTCTGTTTGAATGGGGAAATTTCAGGCTCCTCTAGTTCAACCCTGTTATAGTCCTATAATGATAATCTGTTCAGATTCTTTTATCATAGAAGGATAGGTTTGGTTACCAGTTGACATTGGTAATGATAATTATAATTATGAAAAAATGATAACAAGAATTTATAGGTGAGACTATGATTGATTACCACCCCTTTATTCCCAAAATACCCTCGTCTTCTTCTAACGTCATCCCGTCATCCCTATCATAAGTAGGGATAACCATTTGCTTTAATAGGCTAGGTACGGCCAAACTCCTAATCACATGTGACCCACAATTAAAATAATGATGATGATGAACCAGTTCCCGGCTTGTTCAGTCAAGAGGTTTGGATAAATTTGATTGTATTGGATTTTTTTCCTTTTATTGAGCTTGAAACATCATTTTGAGTTTAGCCAAAAAAAAGTTTTTTTGATCATTTCAACATTCATGATCTTGTCACTGAGATATGCAAAGACCTTAAGTCATGTTTGGTATGGAGGAATGAGGAGTGGTATTGAGATTGGGACTAACTAATCCTAAACTTTTATGTTTGGTATGTGAAAATGAAGATTTTAACCCCAATTTCAATCCTATCTAAATAAGATTATTTAGTACCACCACTCTCTTGATATTGCAAAATCAAACAAGGGATTTTTTTTTGTAAAGACCGAAATGCCCTTATCCTGCCTCCAATCCACTTCATCTTCTTCCTTCACTGGTTTGAGATCATCGTCGGCCTCAGTCCCAGATCCAACATCTTCAATTCGAGATATTCCATATCTAGCTCTAAAGGACGATCTTTATCGCTGCATTCACTCTAATCAATCATCTTCTTCTTCAGTTTGCTTGGATTTGTCGTACACGTTTGGTCTCTCACCTTTGTCTCCATCGTCTTCGATGCATTCTCCTTCTCTAATCTCGCACCCAAAGGTCTCTGGGTCTCGCAAACGCCACCACCTTCTCCTCTTTCATCTTGCAGTCACTGGCCTTTGAGTCTAACAAACATCACCCCCTTCTCCTTCTCTAATCTCGCAACCATTGACCCCTAGATCTCACAGTGAAGTGTGTAGCGTCATTTGAGAAAATGATACTCTGCTGCCATGGTCACTCATAAAGAAGGTGAAGGAGGATCGACCACAATTTTTTTTTTAATTTTAAAGGGTATTATAATCTTTTTATAATTTATGTTTAATTGTAAAATAAAATATTTCTATAAATATTACCTCATACCAAACATAAAATAAAACCTTATTTCTATTTTCAATTCCAATCCTAACCTCAATTCTAATACCAAATCTATGTACCAAAGAGCCCTAGGGTGCTGACGGTCTGCCCTACGATGACCCAAATCTCCATTTGCGACATTCTATAACCGTTCATGAAGAACAAATCCAAGAATTGCTTTGAATCTTACAAATCACCAGTTCAAAGATGTTAGTTGTCATCGACATAACTCATAAAGGAATCAATCTGAGCTGAGGCTAATGGAAAGAGGAAATAAAATTATCTTGTTTTCCATTCTCAGTAACTACTAATACCACTGCCTCCCTCGATCATGAGTTCTTCGTAACACAGTAATCAGTCTACTGGATTCTGCTGATACTAGTTGTAACTCGGCCTATATATGGGCATTATTATGTACAAACCAAACGTCTAGCTGGAATAGCCAATATATATATATATATATATATCATAACAATTATTGCAATGGCTTGAACAACTCGTTCCAGTACAAAATCCCTTTAACGTATCTTCCTAATAAATAAATTATAAAAAAAAGGCCAATTTCTGGTAGTGTAAGATACAGAGAACAAGAATAAATTTCAAGTTCTAATGACAGGACCTCTGTACAGCCCTCTTCTTATCACAAAGTCATCAGGAGGTTGAAACTCTTCCAACCAAGTCACGTCAGAAAATTCAACGCCATTCACTTGAAGCTGACCTGGTATTGAATGAATATTGTCCATATTATGCATTAACAGGACATGAGTTTACAGTCAAAACCGTCTCTAGCGACACAACGCAAGGTTTGTGTTACCTGGGAGATCTTTCCGGAGGGATCTCCGGAAGTAAGTGCAGTGTCTTCCATGTTCAGAAGAGTAAGGTGGAGACAATATATCAAGGATTGCACAAGGCGTTATGGCTCTAAAACAATGAATGTTTCCTCCACTGGTAGGATAAAGAACTGTTGCAGGGGTTGGGGCTGTCATCTCCTTATTCTTTACAAGCTTTGCAGGTCTAGCTGCAAATGAGACAGTTTGGTTTTGATCCAGTAAACCAAAATTAAAATGTCATTTTCAACAATTCCCGGAGAAGAAAATAAGAGATAGAACATTAAAAATGTCAAAAATAAAAAAGCAATTTTAAAGGCACCATCGATTTAAAAAAAAAAAAAACACCAGGCATGAATAACGTGATACCCATTACAATCCTTCCAGACCCCTTATTTTTCAAATGAATAAACTCATGATATGATTAAATAAATGCTCAACTTTCTATTCATCACGGTTTCTACTTCCCCCTTCAGAAAGTCTCTGGATCGTACCAGGATGCAGCAAATGAATGGACTTCCTCGTTCTATATGGCATCCATAATTTCCATGTTTTCACCAACAGGTAGGGGAAATGTACAGAGTCTAATAATACCAAGCCGATTCATTGATGGCTGTTGAACTTTTTTAAAAAAAAAAACCAACCACCAAAGCTGCTGAACAATATCAAAATCCCATCCGGACCATGCGTCCTAACTTATTTAGCTAGGATTCAGACTTGGTTTAAAAGCTCCACCCCAGGTCAAACTAGGAATGCATGGTACAGCTTGCCATGTTCTGAAACCTATGTGAAAGACTATCTAGGGCTTTTCTGACATTCAACAGAGTAGGCAGCACTTCTTTTGAGTATAGCCATAAGTTCAGTGAAGGTTCAGTCCCCTAGCAGCGCAGTAATCTCTTTCAACAGAACAGCAAGTTGACAACCCAAGACCATTGGCTGTACGTTATTCTCAATAATTGCTGGAAAGGTGGCAATGTTGGCACTGAGTGGCATGATAGAGAAGGTATTCTCAATGAAGATTGGGATTGGTCAGTGAGAAATAATTTAAAGAGGAGGCTAAACACAGTCTCACCTACGAATATAGGTCCTAAATTTTTTATCATCTTTTCTCCCTTTTCCTCTTCTCATCAAAACATAGTGATATGCTTTTTCCAGAAAGTACTCAAGCTAAAATTAGATAAGTAACATCTGCTTCATTTGTCTTCTATAAAATCTTACATTTACCATGTAGTTCCAAGCAAACACATAGGAAACAAAGTTTGACTGAACAAAACTAAGTAGAGAACAGACCTTCAGCTGGATCAGTAGATCCAGATAAATCAATCCAATCATATGATTTGACATGTAATGAACCATATAAAAGCTTGCTCAACACTGTCATTCCAGGATGGTTGTGGAGAGGAATTATAGATGAAGGTGGCATGCAAAAGATTCCTATCTGCAAAAGTAAAATGCAAATTTCCGGTCATATATCTATGTTTATAGCCAATTTAAAGCCTAAATTTTGTAGAAAGTGCTAACATTGAAACATATAGACTGTAACATAAAATTGAGAGCTAGTACATACAGAGAAGCTATCATCCTCATACAAATGTAAGTACTTGATTGGTGGCAATGATTGATGAGTCCCATTCCGTTCAAGCATTGAACTAGACCAATTACGAACTACTTGTGCCTCCTGTTCAAGACCTACATCAGATGGCTTGATTTTTTCTGGGCGGGAAAAACTGTGTCAACAGCTATAGTGAAAAATCTCAATTGAACATAGAAAATATCATATAGCACTGGCAAGAACTTTAAAAATTAATATGCTACAACAACTTTAAAAGAAAAAAAAGTATAGGCAAACATCAAAATCATTTGATCAGATCATAAGGATAACAAGATAACATGTTATGTGCCTGTATCTTAAAAAGATATTAGTACCATGCAGATGACATCCATGTACAGATAAACAAAAAAAGTATTTACAGATCATGCCCACAAACAACACATACAGAAAAACTTTAGCATGTTCAGTTGAGCGAATAACCATAATCCCTCCTTTTTAAAAGTCACAAACTTGCACGCATATCAATACGCATCATGCCTAATAAATTACCCAGCTCTAGAATCACTTCATAATTAGTAAGATAAACTTAAGAAGGGAGAATTTCAGTTATCTACCCCTATCATGTCCTCCAATTGCTTTGCAACCCCAAGCAGTTTATAAAAAAATTGCAATTGGCCCTATTGGCCAGAGTGCAATAAAATCTCCTCTATATATACAAACTTTAAATACATAAAATTACTAAAATACCCTTCCTGTGTTATTCAGTATCCCACTTCTGCTTCTCTTCATCTTCCTCAATGAATGTTCCATGACTTTTAAACTTAGTATCTGGTGCTACGATAAATTAAAAAAAAAATAACAGGTTTATATTTAACCAAAAAAAAAATCTAACTAATTCCCAAAACCAGATCAACAATACGAATATTCTCATCCAATATCAACATTTTTGTTCATGCAGAGTATAATAGCACCTATTGCACACCATAATTTCCCACAAGTGGGGGGATAGAGTAAAGCTTCATCTTAGCCCCTGTTGGCTATCATGTCTTTGACTCAAACCCTCCAGCTATTATTAGACACAAGGTAGATTCTAATGTCACTGCCTTGGACAGTCCTTATTGTTGGGTTAGATGTTTGAAGGTTTATCAAATATATTTGTTCATCCGATTTTCTTTCTTGTACATTGAGGCTTCCTTTTATCCCAACACCAAAAATAAATTTCGAAAGCCATGAACAGATTTATAGAAGAAAAATGGTGAGGGAAAAGGAATATTGAATAATATGAAGGGTATTATAGTAATTTCACGTAGCTAAAGTTTCTAAATTTAGATAACAAGGGGCTTGTTGTAATGTCCCAAGGAGTTTGAGTGTCAATAGAGATTTTTGCTCCTTACATTACAGGGATATCACGATTAGAGGCAATGTTAAGACTTCAAATAAGTTTTCAGAATAGGCCAGCATATCCCAATCATAGCCTCCAAATCCTAATCCTGTATAATGAAATTGGTTGTGATGACTGTGGACATACAGCCGTAATTGATATAAAATTACTTGACTCGGAAAAGAAAAAGAAATATTGAATTGAATTATCTTACATATTGTATGTTAATAAACGAGAAACATAGTAACCATGTCGGAAAAAATGTGTTGTGGTTCACTATTTAAACACCGTGAGATCATATTTCACAAGGACAATAAGTTTCAATGAGCATAAGCGTATAGATGACAATAATAGTAAAATCATTTGACATACATGAGGTTTACAAGAAAATATTCACAACTTAAATCATCTGCAAGTTTAAGGAGAAAGATATGATTCATCTCCTTCTCTTGAAAAGAAAAGGAAGGGGAAGGGGAAGAGGAAGGTCACATTTCTTGACTCAGAGGAATAACCAAAATAAATGACATGCTTAACCAAAAACCTAGAATACTCAGCTCCAAAAACCATTCTTGAGTCCTTCACTCCTTTGGAAGATGAATCCCTAAAAGTTGTTTTAATAAAAAGCACAAAGACAGGATTGAGGATGATGAAGAGGAATAGAAAAGAGAGAAATTGAGGTTGCATTGGCTTTTCATACATCATTCGTGCCACAAGAGATTGACAAAGTTTTTCATACATCATAAGGACAAAAAATTATCCGATTTTTTTTATAAGTAAAATACAGAGCTATCTACTCGATAATGTGTTCACGATTCCATCTATCACCCAGAAATCAGACGACAAAAAGGAAATATATTTTTAGGCATATAATAATAGCAAGCAGCAGACTTTAGGTGAGAGGTGCCAAATCAATACGTTAATGAGAATAACTCTATCTGCAGGTTAATTACATAGACATTATCATTATGCAACCAGGAAGCTGAGAAAACGAAGCTATGGGGTTGATAACAAGTATATGCATTAATGAGCGAAACCACCAACGCAAAAAAGCACATACCTAACTTCTCATGAACTTTTTCAATGGCTTCATCTGACACTGGTCCATCTGGTGAGAAAGATGCTTTGCAAAGCCTATAAAGTCTCTGCACATAATACGGCATCTTGTAAAGGTGTAACCAACTTAACTACTGAGACCAAAGCCTCAAATCGGCAAGTTGATAACACCTTCAGAGCAGATTACCAATTGCTATCAAACCAACAATAGTAAATCTACATGACAGTAATCCAATCTTTCACAGCAAATCTATGATGGCCTGTCTAACAAAAAATATGCAAAGATATGAGTTGCTACTTCATAGTTCATATTAGAGATATCACACCATGGTCAATGTCAAATAAGTATCATATAATCATATAAATGCAATACACATTTATGAAGCCAACAATTCATTAAAAAAAAAACACAAATAAGATTTAAGTGAATTTCGCTCTTTTACTTTCTCAAAAAATGCATCCCGGGAAACTAGAATCTACTTGTACACAGAAATTAACTCCTGCCCTTTATGATTTGCCTTCAACAATATCACTGCTTCCGCAAGGCCGCCCGCAACATAAATATAGTCATTTGGCAAACTCAAAGTAAATTCGAAAAAGAAAGACTTGATTGCATTTTTCCTTCCAGTTCATTAAAAGATGCATCCACGGAAAGTAGGTTTTGGGAACGGAAATTAACCAAACCCGCAAGCTATCCACAGGAAAAAGAAGAAAAGTAAAGTAAATTCTCCCTTTTTTTCTTCGGTTCCGAAGGGAAAACAGTTTGTAACGGATTCGAATGCAATAACCCGCGAATAGAACACTCATTTTCGGGATGCAGCAGAAGGTACTATTGAACCCGGGAAAAGATTACAAACAGTAAACAGAATGAAGACCAGAAGCTGACCGATGAAAGAAGTTAAACCGAGGACAATAGCAAGTCTTAGAAAAGATCAACAAGGTGAAGTAGATCAGAACCTCAGTGAGGTATAAGATTCCGACAGAAACAACGAAAAGGAAAAATAAATTAATTAATTAAAAAAGGAAAAACAGGAATCGAACGGAGAGTCAGGCCAGAGTACCTCGGACGTCCATGGCTGATGAAGAAGGAGTTTTCTTTATTAGGGTGGCAGAGAGGAAGGCAACGAAGGAGAGAGAGAAGAGGCGAAGCGTATGTGCATAGAAAGTAAGCGAGGGATCGCTAGTAAATATGGTGGAAACAGGAGGAAGCTGGGAGGGAGGCAGGAAGTGAAAAGGCCCAAGGAAGATCTCGGACACGTCATCGCCCTGAGTTCTTTTTCATTTATTTTTTTTTAATTCAAATTTAATCTGTGAACCTTTTATATGGACTTTAGAGCCGCTTGACGGCTTGAGCGTCTGTCCAAGAGAGAAATGGGCATGTGTACATAAATATTTATTTTGTTATTGCGCAGAATTTTCTCCTCACATGAAAAAACGTTTTAATTATTTTATCATGCTTAAACAATTGGTTATCCTTTTTCTTTTTTACTTGTGGAGAAAGTTATGTATTCATCATTCAACATTTACATTGTTAACATTATGAGCAATATTCTGAATATTATTTTGTATAGGGGGTTTAATATAATTCATTCACTCATATTATTTATAATTCAGAAACGGATTGCCTTGAAACTTCCATTATTTCAAAACGTTCAACAATGCTTGATGATAATTAAGTCGTTAGAGCAATCTTTAATATGTCCAACGTCTATATGCGAGGACAACCTATATAACGCCATGTTTGCTGCATGTTTCAGGGCGCCATTTTAAAGCTTCTTATTAGCACGATTTCTTCTATTAGGTTGTTCTTTTTCTTGTTTGTATTTATGCGATTCTACTCTTTGTTTCTCCATAAGAAAAGTTCCTTTAATCCTAAAAAGACGTCGCATGCGTGGCAGAATAATTTTAAGGACAATATCACCGAGCATGAGTTGGACCAAAATTGCTACAGTTGCTGCCAACGAGCCTAACCCTTTTCTGGACAATAACTATCTTAGCTCTTAAACCAGTTCTATAATAGGTTTTTTTTTTATATCACTATAATAGGTATTTAATTATGACTAAGTGAAATATTTATCTTTTTTGGTGAGCACTACGTGAAACATTTAGATTTGCAGACAAGATTATCGTGACAATGTGCTCTTTACAAATTGCAAAATATTAAAATTAAAATATTTTTATGGAAATGACAAGTATGGTCATTAACCTTTTTTCTCTTGAATATCCTGCTGTCTTTTTTGAAAGGAAAAAGGGGACCTTTCCGTGTTGGATTATTTAGACAAATTTTCCTATATTCTGATAGTAAGCCAAAACATGGAAAATATATTTTTAACAATAACACATAACACATTCTTGTTTGATTTTATTGATGATTATTACTATTATTCATTTTAATCTCAATTGTCAACTATTTTTTTTTTTTTAAATTTTCAAGATAAAGTCCAAATAATAAGACAATTCCACGTAGCAAACAACGAGGCCGCGGAGGTTCTAACATGTCCTAAAACCACACAAGTTTAATTATTTGTAAGAATCTAGAGTTGACTCCATATCTGTTTTAAAAACATCATATAATGTCAATTTTTATGCGCCCTTAATTTGTTTGAAAAAAAAAATTCCGATGAAATTCTACAGAATCTGAAGCGTGCGGTTGGAATGCGTTTTCGTTTTCATGCTCTCTTCAAGTAGCTCTGTGAGTTTTTTTCCTCTTTGAAACAAAAATAGCAAAATGTCTTTGATTTGTTTTTTTTTCATGAGTAATTTAAAAGCATACGGTTTTTTTTATTTGCCCATTTTCACCTGGCTTCATACGATACTTCTTAATTTATATCAGATTAGAAGTTGTCTGCATATACTAAGACAAGATCAATACATCCTATGAGACACTCTTATTTAGTGATTTATCGGAACAACGGAACGTATAAATGCACTAACGTTGCTTCAATTTAGATTTAATATATATATATATATATATGCGTGTATGATTTTTTTAACCAGTAATTTTTTTGGTAAAAGCAAATATATATTAAATTTAAAAAACAGATACAAATATCGAATGTATATTTGGAGCATACTCCCAATATTCCCTTGTAATATTCATAGTGTATGAATAGATTTCTATAACTTATAGAATTATCGGAATATAAACAGACTTAGTTACAAAAATAATCAGTGAAAAAGATGACGGAGATAAGATCAAACTGATTATCGTTAAACATTAAGTCATAAGCTGCAATTATGGATGTATACATGCATTAAAAAATAGCATGCGCTGAAAAATATAACCCAACAACAATAAAGTCAGGTGAGGAGGGACGTTTTAAGTTTGAGCTAAACTATGCCTAGGACTAGTCAATAGTAAAACAGTAGTGGATAATTACATAACTTTGATAAATTATTTTAATTTTTAACTTCTTTAGTTATGACAAAGTGGCATTTTTAAAGTCATTCAATTTCAGCGCTCATAAAAGTGATAAGCATCTTGATGAAATCTATGACGTCCAAATTTAATCTAAACTATCTATATTTTTTTTTTGTTTTATTTTATATTTATTAGTATTAAAAATTTAAAATTTATCAAAAATTTTAATAAAGCTGTTGATCTTTGGACAATACAAATTTAATTTAGATGATTCAGTAATATTAAAAAATTTTATATTTTTTTATAAATTAATTATCTAGATGTATTTTAAACAGTTCAGCTTCAATATTAAAATTTTTTAAAAAATTAAATTTTTATTTTGATAAATATAATATTAAAAAATAAAGATGATCTCCTAACTAGAACTTTCTAAAGAAATATTTTTTGGAAAAAACTAAAATTTGGAATTTTCAAGTTCAAATCATGCAGTGTAAATTTGGATGGTTAATTATAAAAATTATAAAAAATATATATTAAATTTAACTATTTAAATTAAATATGAACTGTTTAAATTAGTAATGAACAGTTATAAAACAAAATTATTAAATTTTTATATTAATAAATATGAATGATGAAATAAAGCTTTAAATCTAGATCATCCATGTTAAATCAGGATGATCCAGATCCATCAAGGATGGTAGTCATCAAAGATGAGCACTAAAATTGGATTTATGATGGAGAGGTAAGATTAGAAGAAAGTGACTGAAATGAACAGGATAAAGAGATGAGTTTACAATGTTATCGTGATCCTTGCGACCCAGGTTAAATCTATGTTAAGCCCACTTCTAGCTTTTTTTTTTTGGAAGAAAAAAATTACAAAAGCAAGCTTGACCGATTTAAAACAGATATAATTGAGCTCACAAACTAACAAAAATTCAATTTGTAAGGATTTAATTCATGATTCACAGGGAAGAACAAATTTCATTATCGATGTGTTTGATTCTGTAGAATAAATTATGATTGCTTAAATAGGAGCTTTCGAAATTAAGTCATTGTTAATATTAAAAGCATGCATACAAAAGTTCCACTTAATAGGTTTGACTGCGCCCAGATGTAATTAGTAATACTGGATCTCAAATAATTAAAGCAAAAGGTGTAATAAATTCAATCCTCACCAATTTAATTAATAGTCGTACAAAAAGTACGCAAATTATTCAAACTCTTCAACTTTAGCCTGGCTAGCTTCAGAAATTCCCATAATAGCATTGAATCAATATAAATAATTCTTGATAATAAATGACGCTTGAAAGGAGAGAAATAAATGAGAAATAAAAAGCTTACAGTATATATATCATTTTAATAATAACGCATGAATGTCTTAATAATATTTAATAAATATAAAATGTTGTTTAAATTTCAACAGGATAAATTTAATACAAAATAAATCTCAATACAATAAACTGTCATAAATAACACTATATCCTAATAATACCAAAATAATAATACTCACCCTATCACGAAAATCCTATAAAACTGTCCAAAAATGTTGTTTGGATAGGATATAAAATCGATTTTTTTTACTATCCAAACAGCCAACAAATTAATAATTAATTGTTGAGCTAAAATTATATTTTGAAATAAACTCCAGAAGATTACTTATAGATTCAATTTTATAATTAAATAATATATTTTATTTTTAAATAAAGTTTAACAAATTTAATAATATTAAATATAAATTTATTAATAATTTAATTTTAAAAAGTAATATTTTTTATGATAATATATACATCTAAAATTAATTTTAATATCCAAGCAGATTATGTTATAATATAATTAATTATAATTATAATCAAATTTTTTTATAATTAATTACACTTAAGTGAAATGCAAACGAGCCCTAACTACGATAACAATCCATCATGGGAGACCACGTTTGATTTATTGTAATTAAGCCAAATTCTTGAATCACAATGGTGTCGCTAAAACGCTACTCCTTTTCATGAATTCAATGAAATCATTGAATTCATGCACGCACGGCCATTTATCGCCAATCCAAGAGAATATAAATGTGTGTGTGTACACACACTACACGCACATTAAAAAAAAAAAAAAAATATAACTCACTTCAACGATGCCATTATTATATTCCACCAATTTACATGCATCGGTTTAATAACTTCTTTTTTGTATACACCTACCCAATGACAGAAGAATTAATTCTCCATTGCTTTTCTAATCAAAGACTTCAAATTTACTTGTCTTTAGCATAGTAAATCAAGGCTCAAATTTTAAAAAATAAATATTAATATGTAATCCCAATAAGATGATAGTCGGGCGTAAAAGAAAAAAATAACACAATACTCCACATTTGTCAGGAAAGGTTGATCTCCTCGGGTAAGAATATTTGACTCACAGCTCACATCGTGAGTTCAAAATCTCCATCATAGATAAGAGAATCTTGTTAGGGACTATTGGCATTTTTGGAAGCACTGTTTAAATTGAAGATATTTTTTAGTCCCCACAAACTTAACTCAGTAAACTTTATTTACTTTCACCCCATGAAAAGACTTCACATAGAAGGTATACAAACATTAGAACACCTAGCAAAGTAATACCATGATTTTCATCTTTAACCTTCAAACCCCTCATTGTTCACTGATGACAAAAATTCTGACAGCTAGCGTCCCAGCATATTTAATATAAAATGAGATAAATACTCCGAGCATTGTATCACTAAAACCATCAACCCCGTCCCCACGTACCCTGATTGTCACACCCCACTTCAACAAAAAGTATGACATCTTACATTTTTGAAAGATCGACTCTTCAGGGATCTTCAGGAACAGGAAGGTCCTCCTCCTCCGGCAAGTCCAAAACCCACTCTCCGTCGTGCCGGAGAACCATGCCCTTGTTCTTCTCCACCCACCACGACGCAGGAACTCTGCACTCTTCCTTCAAGAAGTCACACGATTTGTTCACCAGAGCCAAGCTTCTCCTCACCTTCATCTCAAACTCACCCTCACTCCCGTTCCATCCTCCAACCACGTGCAGCATCGCCTGCAAATTATGCCAGTCGCTCGGGTTCTTCGAGTCCTTCAAGAATGGCGATTTCCTTGTATCGATCTCCAATTCTGTTCCTGTCTCTGCGTACCCCAGTAACCTTCCTGGGTAATGTGGTATGAGATCGATCTTGTTCCTTATGTGCAGGACCTTCAGGTTGGGAAATTTCTTGAACCTCTCGTTGAATGCCCTGTTTCCGACCTGAGGAGACCCGAACACGAAAGCACATACAGGGACGTCGGTGACGCCATTTTCGACCAGGTCGAACCGCAAGAAAGAATGGATAGGCTTGCTCCTAGACTATGCCCAACCAGAATCACGCTCGGTTTTCTCGTCTTTGTAAAGATTCAACAAGTGTTTGATTTTGCTCTGAATTTGGGTTCTGACGCTCGTTTTTGTAAACGACGATTTAGGGTCCTCCGAGACGTAGATCGTTAGCCAACCCCTCATAACTTTCGGGATGTTCCCATGTTCTTCGTCGTCGTCGTCTTCACTGCTCCAAGAACCTTCATTTCCAGGGCTGATTTGTAGTTCTTCGAGGGTCCGAGGGCTTAACAGAGCTTTAGCAGAGTCGGGTTTAGCTCCCATGACATCGACCCACTCGTAATTCCGAGTCGTCCCACGCCAGACGATGTAGATTTCGCGGCGGCCCAAGGAGGCACTGACCTCGTCGGAGGTGACGGCGATGTAGCCGATCCAGTTAGACTCACGGTCCAGGACTCCCTAGACAAGGACTTGAGAAGAAAAGCCTCCGGAACACTGACTCTAGCGGTGGCATAAAGAAAAGACACGACGGTGTAATCATCGGGGCGGTCGAACATGACCTTTTGGAAGAAGGACTTCTTGCCGTAGCGGCTGGAGCCACAGAAGCGAGAGTTTGAGTCATTGTTGAAGGCGTCGTAGGTGGCCTGAATAAGGTCGCCGGAGCGGAGGATGAGGTTGCGGAGGTCATGGTCGAGAGGGTGAAGCAAACCTTCCCAGTCGTCGCTGCCCAAGAGTTCCGGCCACGTGGGGTTTTGTTGGGTGTGATCTTCAGCGTCGGCCATTAAAGCAGATGGATGATGAGTTGCAGAGAAATGGAGAAGATGAAGTAGTTGGGCCGTGTGGTGTGGTTTGGGGTTGCTGACTTGCTGTTGGGGTTAAAGGAAAAGGGAGGCAGATTAACACGGCTTGATGGGTTCTTGTGATAATGATGGCTATGGCTGCCCCACCACTCGCTGATCAGTGGCGACAATGCAGTGTGTTAGTCGGAGATTGGAATGCCATTGATGCTTTGAATAGTGCATAGGTTATGTATGGATAGTGGATTGGATTTTTATTTTGAGTAATAATCAAGAAACAGAAAATATTGTGGGGAAAAAAAATCATTATCTTGATCTGTCGTCCGTGTATAATACTATTAAAAGAAAAATATAATGAAATGAAAAGAAGACAGACTTTATATATAACGTTGTTGGAACAGAGGATTGATAAGACTGACATGGTAAAGAGACATGTGCCGGGGCTATTAATTTGATTATTGCAAGAGAAATGAAGAATGACAGCTTTGATCACTCTTTAATTTAAAGACATGATAAACCATGTTAAAATGCTGTTGTATATAAATTAACCTCCAATCGTGAATCTCCTACATGTGTATAAAGAAGCTAACAATTGAACTCTTTTTTTTTGGGTGGATATAAGGCTAATACAGCTTAATTGCCAGGCCTCTTATCTGAGGTCATGGTTGGAGGTTGGTGGCCATGGCTGCCCCACAACGGATGAGTGATGATGAACGCGAGGCGCTAGACGGAGGAGACTGGAACGCCATTGATCCTTTGAATGGTTTACACACACACACACACACACACACACACACACACACACATCACATTATTAATGGATAATTGGATTTTGAGTTCGAACAAAAAAAAAAAAAGTATTGCCAATGAGAAGAAAACAAAAAATATCATGATGATCCTGTTAAACTCCCAATGGTGCAATCATGCAAACGCAAGTAATGAGAAACTATTATGTAATCTGCCATTCATACTCCATCCTAATAAACGTGCTGGAATTCACTGACCAAGAGAAATTCAAAATGATTTAATCTTACTTGGCATTAGTATGAATGTTTATAACATATATAACAAATCATGTCATGGGTTTTAAATGTTTATTTCATGTTCTATCTGGTTATATTCAATTCGAATTTCAACTCTTACACACACACACATGTATTGTAATTTGGCTGTAACAGATCTATTATTTACCCTCACTAATCCGGAAGAAATTATATCGAGGTGCTGGCAAAATATACTTCTTGTGCCAAAAAAGAAAAAAAAAAAAGAAGGAGTAGGATTGGAGATCCTTAAAGAAAATGAAAGAAAAGGAAGAGAATTGGTGGAAGTAAAGATGGAAGAAATATTATAGAAGATAAAAAATTACGGGACCTTGATTTATTCCTTCGGGACCTTGATTTATTACATTTGAAAATAATTATGGGTCTGTCATTTGTAATTTCTACAATGATATCACATAAAGCTACATTTGCCAAGAATCATTTGGTTCGCTCGGCACCAACACTCTTCCCATAATAGATAAAATGAGTGTTCGAGCACAAGAGTAGGCATTCTAGTGGATGTGTGAGTTTTCTTCCTATAAGGATTGTAGAATTGCGTGAGTGAATGGGTATTATTGATAATTCTTCCTTACCAAAAAGAGGCAAAAAAACCATAAGATCAAGGACAAAGCCAGAATTTATGAATAAGGAAAGCCAATATTAAAAATATAAATATACTATAAAGTTTTCATAAATTTTAAAAGGGTTAGGAGTATATATACTATAAAGTTTTCAAAAAAAATTAAAATTAGGGGGTCACAGCCCTTGTTGGTCCCCCCTCCTTTTGTCACTGCATAAGACAATATTTATAATCTAACAATGTTATGGCAATTGAGTCTTAAATCTAACTTTATTCAAGATGTTATTTTTTGGCATCTTTATTTAAGCTGGAACATTGGTCATTAGAGAGCATGGATAATTAATAATTTCAAATTTTAAGAACACCTAATATTTTTTCATAAATTATTTATTTTTATTACATCAAAAGGAACATTTAACATTCCAATTCTAAACCAACTATGTTTTTTTTTTTGTATCATTGCACAAAATCTAAAAACTATTCCTGATAAAAGAATATGAGTGAAGTGGGGTCTCAATTGTAAGAAAAATTATGAATAATTTAAAAACCTTTATACTACTGGCATTTTTTATTTTAAATTTTTTCTCTCTTCAACTTTTTTTGGGTAAAAAAGTAGGGCCAAAGCTCATTATAAACTACTCAAACTAACTAAACAAGGGCAAGACATGTCCAATTCATCTCGGTACAACAATTCATGCAACCCCTAGGCGGATCACACAATTATTAAAAGCCAAAATCCTGTTGCAGACTTCAATTAACAATTTAGTCTACATAACCATTCCCCTCCTTATAAGTATGAGCTACTCTAATCTCCTAACTATCATCTATCAATCTTTGTATTTGCCTCAAATACATAGTATGCATAGTATTATTTTAAAGTATACATTTCAATTGAGCCAGAATATCAGTGGAATTAGATTCAATCATAAACCTTCTTAACACAACATCAAACTAGCATCTTAAAAGCAAAGCAAATGCCCTTTAATTCAACTTCCATTGTAATATAATTCCCTACTCTATCCATAAAACCACCTATCTATCTGCCAACGGCATCTCACATTAAACCCCCACACCCTACTAATCTAGGCTACCTTTTAGCCACTCTATCAATGTTCATACTAGGCTACCATCTAATATCTTTCCATTTCCTCACAATTCCACCTTCTTCATTCTAAAATACAAACTTGACCTTCTTAATGTACCAATTCATAGCCAACACACTAATACTCCCACAATCAAACCCTCCCTAAACAAGAATTCATTCCTCTGGAACCACAAAAACCAACAACGCACTCCAACAATCAGCTTCCACTCCTTCCCCCAACCACCACATATCCCCCTTACTCAAATTAGCACTAAACTAGTCTTTATGATTTAAACTAAAAAACGTAGTCATAAATGTACTTGGCAATAATTGCTCCCACACATCCCTTAAACTCAAGCAATCCCGTAAAGTGTGTAAAACATCCTTCACCTATAACTAGCACCTATAATAGTTAGGTAAACTCCTTGAAATTCCACAACATCTTGCTAAAGTAAGTAACTTATTCACAACAGCAAGTCATAAAAACACTTGAATTCTTTTTTGCCTTTCCATTCCTAAATCAAATCCCAAATGCCTTCCTCCACAATCTCTCTTTCTTCGACACACAATAAATCATACATAGTCACCACATTAAACTCATGCTACCCTTTACTGGGCCATCTCAATCTATCATCCATATCCACAACACACGAAGCATGAATAGCTAAAATCTTCTGCAACACCCCATTAGGAAGAAGACATTTCAATCTATCCACATCCCATCCCCCATGCTCTAACACTAAGTCACATACATTAGAATTCGACTCCTCTAGACTAAGCTACCCCACGCATCTTTTCACTATTGCCACATCCTTATCAACCCATTTATTTAGCCAAAACTTCACACTTCTTCCATCATTCACTTCGCATCTATTATCAAATAATATTCAGCCATAACTCAGTTAATTTCCTCCATGACATATAATCATAAGGCTTTGCCATACATTGTTGCGTTAGATCCACCCTTCATCCATACTTTCCAACAAGAACTCTAGAGCCTATTTTAGATAGCTTTGCAATATTATCCTGCCCTACATTACATATTAAATCTTTGTTCATTTTTTTTATATTCTTCAACCCAAAACTTCCTTGCTCTTAGGCAAGCACAAATTCTTGTAACTCATTGTATGAATCCTTCATCTACCTCTTGTAACTCCCTGAATAAAATTTCCCTGCATATTTTCATTCTCTTTACACATTCTATCTAGTAAATCATCATGTAACATATTATAAATAGGAATTTGCTATGTCACTTGTTGCACCAAAGTGAGCCTTCCCATTAATGATAGACTTTATGATTTTCAAGAACTTAATCTCTTATAAATCTTATCAAACAAAAATTGGTACTTCCCCCTTCCCCTCTTGCCATTGGACATATATCAACCAAGATAACGTCCTAGATCCTCCATTGCTTGAAACCCACATCCAGTGATTAGCCAATCTTTCCTCTCATTCTCTACATTTTTGGAAAACATAACCATAATTTTTTGCACATTAATTATCTACCTCGACATAACACCAAAATCTCTTAAACATTGCAAAACAATTTATAGTTGATCCATCTTAGCTTCGTGGAACAAGAGTAAATTATTCATAAAGAGCATATGTGCCCTAACTTCATGGGCCTCCATCTCCCATCTTCAACAACATCCACAATCAAATGAGATAATTTTTTCATACCTAACACAAAAAAGTATGGAGAAAGTGGACCCCCTTGCCTCATCTCCCTAGAAGGAACAAATTCCTTTGACTTTACCACATTCCATAATAACCTTCTAGATCCACTATATAGTACTGTTCATAATTTCAATTTCCTCCAACACCCTCCTCACGAAATTTCATCTCATATGATCGTAAGTCTTTTCTAAATCTTTTTTGATAGCTATATATCCCTTCCTCCCAATCTCCCCATTGAGCAAGCAATCTCTCTCACAATTATCACATTATCTTGAATACACTTCCTAGGCACAAAAATGGCTTGGAACAATGAGACCAATCTTGGCACTAAACTCTTCAACTGATTCACAACAGCCTTCAAGACTCCCTCACATACCACATTATGTAAAGAAATGGGATGAAACGGATTCATTCTCTCCACTTTTTCCACTTTTGGCACCGATGTAATCAAAGTCTGGTTAATTTCCTTCAACCTCTCTAGATTCCTCCACATATGAATGATTTAGAAGATTTATTAATTTCACTTGTAAAATATCTAACATTACATGTTAATTCCTTTGTTTTACTTATTAAGTCCACAACATTATTTTTAATCTTTCAATATTTACTTTAAGCACAGTATATACAAAAAGTTTGCTCAACTGGCTTCAAAACCAATTTAAAAATATCAACATGGTTGGGCGTTGTACACTTGTTAAAAGGCCCAAATAAACCTATATGTTGTTTTTTTGTTAAAAAAAAAAGCATGGTGAAATGCAGGGGGCGAGTGAAGCAGATCCGATCCAGGGGCTGACCAAAACACACGAACACACGCGCACGCACACAAGAACAAGAAGGGGCAAGGGGATTCGGGGAAGGAAATCGAGGGCAACTGTGAGGGCAACCGTGAGTGGCATGACAAATTTGTTAAGAATGTCTGAATGATTCTAGCGAGTTAAAATAAGTTCTAGCTTAAGGCAAGGCTCAATGATGGACCCTTGGATGATTCGTGCGCGAGCGTCAAATTGTGATCTAATGGTTTCTTCATTTCCGCGTTTTAGGGAGATGCTTTTTGTATCAGAAAGTCCACCCTTTTGATTGTGCCTTCGTCTGAAGTGGCCTCTAGATATGGCTTTGGTTGATATAACCAAATCCTGCATCGATTCCATCAGACAGGTAATTGTTTTTTTAATGACGAATCTTCTGTCCATTTTGTGCCCAAGCTTGTGTATAATGCAGCAATAGTTCGTCTATTTTGTGTGTTGTTGCAATCAATTCTTCTGTTTATTGGCTGAAGGAAAATTAAGTTTCGTTGGTTTGCTCAATTTAGCTGGTAAAAACACAGGGCTGCAACACTATGTCAAGAAATCATAGAGGCCTGCCCTTTTGATGTGCAATGCTGAATTGAAGTTTGTGACGTCTCTATCTCTTCCTTTGGTTTTTTCTTTAATGCCTTTATGTGGTCTAAGGGTTCTGCAACTAGACGCGCAGGCTTTTAGTTCTCATTTTCAAGATAATTAATTTTTCGTTCTTAAGTACAATCTGAGATCAGGCTTGGTTTAGTCTACTTGATTTCAAGCTAGTCTTTTGACAAGCGAGTGAGGAATAAAGGGATACCGGTTTCATAAAATTTATTTTGCTGGACCGTGGAACTTATAGTAATGCTATAGAAGACCCTGCTCTTGTCTCCAGTTCGTCACAGCTTCCAAGGGCCAAATTCCAAAACGGGAGCGATTGGATGGATTCTTGGTGTCCGTCCATATGGGTATATATATAAGTTATCCGGTCCCATCTAATCGAGAAACAACTTAACTGGGATGGAAAGATGAGTTAACTATGATCAGAGAACATAGACCAATCAGATGTGGCCTCCCTTCACGTGGTGAATTTCAAGCTCATAGAGTTCATGGGTGGCCTGTGGACTGTGAGCCTGTGTATTGCTTAATGAGGCTTTGCTATCTCCAAAGGCATGGAGTTGTTGCCACAGTGAGAGCGTGAGAGGAGATCTTATGTCTGTTTCTTAAGTCCACGTAAGATGTCACTCTGGTTGTATACTTGATGATGAATTTTTGAATGATGCTGAAGCAAGCATTGACTTGAATTTGAAAACTCAAATGCAAACATTCTGTAACAAAACAACCCAAGTGGTTGCTGAATACCTACTCTGGTTTTCTTCAAAATCAGTCACTGCTCTTCTTAAATCTTTTTTTTTTTTTTGGGTTAATGAATCTTAATTCGTTTTTACTTCTTGATCAACAAGTAATTTAATTTTCCTTGTTGAATGCGTTGTCTTTATGCTTTAGTTATAATTAACATATTTATGCATTTATTAATTTGGTTTGAAGATAAAATCAAAATCACACCTCTTGTGATTAATTTGAGCTTCTTTGATTCACTTGATGTAACTTCATGACTTCTTACAATTTTATTTTATTTTATTTTTTGAAAAAATTTAACTTGATGGAGTAATTGGCTTTTTTTTTCTTCTCTATTTTAATTGTAACATCTTTGAAAGCTTTCCACAATTCATCCATGGAATTAGACAATCAATTAGTTTCCAATATATCTGCAGTTATGCGTCTCACAAGTGCCTTTGGATTTGAATTTTGCTTTTGACTACAAGCTTATTATTCTTGTTACGTCTGTATCTATGTGATCCTTTTCATCTGATTACTACCTGAATGTTCTGCGTGATCTGTCTTTTTTTCAGATATCAGAGCATATTGATGGTGCTATTGTTTACTTAGATGCTGGGTGTACAGAGAGTTTCCAGTTTATTGATGCATATTCTGTGCTTTTGGATGTTGGAGCCCGAGCTATTTGCAGTTTAGAAAACATGTGTTCACTTGATGCGGTAAGTAGTTGTGTGATATCTTGCTAAATATGTCTTTCTTTTCCTCCTGCAAGCTAAACAAATTTGACAACTATTTATTAATCCGTATATGTTCAAAAGGAAGACAATTTCAGGATTATATTTTGTGCCTGTAGATTTTTTTTTTTTAAATTTTTGAGACACCACATGTAATAAATGTTGGCTACATGGTCGTTGGTTTTGCACTTCATGAGGATACTCGGCCTTTCACTACTAGACAAGTATAGTCAGATTTATGTGCAATATTTGGATGGATGGAAAAAAAAAATTCTAAGAATGAATTATTGATCCTTCTTGGAATGTTATATTAATGAATCGGTTGAGGGCAATTAATTTCATCAGTCAAATATGATTTTAGTTTGATGTTTACTCCCTCCAATCCAAAATGCAAGTCATGTTTAACTAACTTCACATGTACCGAGGAAAGAAGTTAAAAGTTGGTGAACTCATTACATTTGTTTAAAAAAAAAAAACAATATTTTCTGCCATTGACCCTTCTAAGTACATTGAATTCTAATATAATGTTAATTCCTACATGAACCATTGACTTCTAATTCTCACTTCTTAGTTGCAGTCAAGGGCAAAATAGGAAACACAATTAATGTACCAGATAATACGAAAGTGACTGGTATTTGGATGAGGAAAACCTTCTACAACATGACTTATATTTTGGATTGGAGGAAGTATGTATATTTGACTTAGTAGTAATTGTAGCAACCACGAGGTCTAGAATTTTGTTTTTGCTATTTGGAACTGAAAATATAAATGAACTAGATATTCAAATTCCTTTTGGGCAGTGGGTAATAATGACTGTAGTAACAATCATTAAGTTAGATGAGTAGCACATGATGTATCTCCATTGCCAAAATTGTAACGCATGAAAAAGTATGAAATGTAGTCTCTTAATACTGTAATTTGAGCTGACATGGTGCTGTAATACCTTTTTCATTTTCCAAGCAAATGGATCTAGCACGATTTATGTTTGCTTGTTTTCTCTGTAAAAGATGAGAGCTACTGCTACACGATGAAATAGTGAAGGTTGCATATATATATATATATATATATTCTCCTTGGAGTCCATTTCATATTTGTTATTTTGATCTCCTGAGGTTCGTTCTTTGCATCTTGTTAAATTAACAAAAAAAGGTGGTAAGTTTCAATCCTACTGGTAATGACAAAGTACTTGTTAATTCTTATCTCTTCCATCCCTTTATGCATGTTTTCTTTAGTCAATGATACCTTAATCTGGTGTTCAGTTGGCATGATGTGTATGGATGCTTCTCATTCACTGATTTAATTTTTTTTTAATCTCTCTCCCCAATATTTTCATACTGTAATAATTCATGGTTTTATTTAGGTAGGCTCTCGTAATCATGTCTACTTTTACTTATGGCTTGTTATTCAGGTGGTTGATTGGAACTCATATTCTAATCCTGCGAGGAAACTTGTCATAATCACATCATGTTTGCTAAGTGATGCACATCGGTATATTTTACGATGCCTGAGCACACATCAAGTTGTTCGTCATTGCATTATATTTTCATCAATCTCAGAGGTGCTTATTGGTTATTGCTCTTGGCTAATTGTCTTGGTTGTTTGCTTTCTTTTTTTTGTGACTGCATGCATCTCCAGATTTTATTGTTTTATTTTGAAAACTCAATGTGGTGTGGGGTTCATCAATGAACTTGATTTTATTATTTTAGTTTTTGTAAATTTATGACATCTATCAAATTAGTATTTTGGCCTTACAATTATGTGTATCATAATTTGATTTAAATGAAACCAAGGTGAACCTGTTTCAGAGACAGGTTATATTATGTGATATTTTGTTAAGAATAATGAGGTTAGATGGTCTCAATTTATTCTGATACTTTTGCCATACTGTGCGAACCTTTTTTCAGAAAGAGGTTATATTATATGCTGTTTAGTAAGCAATAATGAGGTTATATGGCTCAATTTATATGCTATTGTTTCCACCACGCAGAGTTTTCTCTCTGCTACCTAAGTTTTTAGCATTTAAGAGGACATTGTTATAGAGACAATAATATTGTTTTTGCCCTGATCCCTGCATAATTTCTCCTTTTCTTTTTGTCTATTGCAATTGCACAATGGGCTCAATTTTGGCTGCGATAACCTGTGGTTTGTTCAGCAGCATATAGTTCAGACCATAAGATGAACAGGTTGCTTGTTCCAAAGCCAGTAATAGTATTATTGGTGGACTATTAGCTTGAAGTAAAAATGGTTTAAATAGTTGTTTAGAAAATGAAGTACTGTCACTTTGTTAGAAGCTTGTACCTGTAATGTAGTTTTTATCTGCTCAATTAAACTTTAAAAGTGACGTAATTGCCAATAAGGTTGCAAAAGCATCCAAGACTGTGATGTAGGACAAACACTGAATGGTGAAAAGAGAGAGGGGGTAGGGGGAGAAAGAAAAGTGGAGGAAGAATTTAGAGAGAGAGAGAAGGGGCAGAACAGGAATTCAGTTACCATCTCAATAATAATGTGGATGATGAATTCAAAAGCTGAGGACAATGCTGCAAAGAAACTCTTAAATAGACAAACCCAATATTACAATAACTGTTGTTTTGAATTGCTGATGCTTCATAATTTACTGAGAATTATCCATGTAATTATGATCCATATATGAGTTTTTAAAGTGTTAAATATATTATTCAATAATGCTAATATTTCCAAAAGCCCTATTCTATCTCATCATTTGACCTTTGAATAAGCACAAATAATTGCAGATCATTCGAAGTTATGTCAATTTGGATACTTGCAAATATTTTTGTAGTGTGTAGCGAGTACTGAGTAGAAAGCATGAAGTCATCATATATCAGAAAACATCAATATGAGGATTACATTATATTTTGGCTTCAAGTTTTGGCCCTTTTCATTTCATGTCCTACCTTTTTTTACTTCATGTTCCTTCTCTTTCGATGCCCTAATATTAGTTAAAACGCAGACAGCTCATTCAACATTTCCTGATTCACCTCTGGGACCAGATGCATATCAAGAATATGAAGCCTTGCTGGTTCAAGATTATGAAGAACTAGTTAAGAAATCTGGGACAAATTCTAGTGGAAAGCTTAAAGATGAAGGACATTCACAGTCTCCTTCCAGTGGAAAGGATGCTTTTCATCTTGAAGCTAGTTCACGTGCAATTTTACGTGGAGATAATTCATTAGACTACATTGAAGATGGAGGGGCAAGATTGGTTGTTTCTGTTAATCATTTTCCTTTGATTTTATGTCCCCTTTCACCAAGAGTATTCGTTTTACCTTCAGAAGGGTTGGTAGCTGAAGCATGCCTATCAGCCGAACATGAAGACTCCATTAGTCCTGGTTTGCCTCCCATAAGCACTGGAATGCTCTCTGATGCTGATGACGTGCCTCCAGGGGCTACTCTTACTGCACACTTTCTCTACCACTTGGCATCAAAGGTAACTACTGATATGCATCCTTTGGGTGAGATGTCAAGTTACTTTGGCGACTTATTCCAGTCATTGGATATTTGCAAGGCTTCTTGTTGTCTATTTGACCATGCTTCTGGATTCTTTCCCGGCTAGAAAATTGTAAAGCTATAAGTTGCACGTTAGAACTTCTGTTTCGTAACTTACTTAGAAGAGCGTGCATAAGGCCATTAAGATAATATGACTACGTTAACGTTAGAGTGTAACTAATTATACCATTTCACTGACTGTACCTTACACCCTCTCTTTAGAATCTCATGTTCTGTTTGTTTTGGCTGTTTCATCCTCTGACCATGACCATTATTTTTTTCCTTAATCATGTAGATGGACTTGAAAATGGAGATTTTCTCCCTTGGTGATATGTCAAAAGTAGTTGGGAAGCTTCTGACAGACATGTCAAGTCTGTATGATGTAGGTCGCCGTAAACGATCAGCAGGGCTTTTACTCATTGATCGCACACTTGATCTTCTTACTCCTTGCTGCCATGGGGACTCATTGGTTGATTGTATTTTTTCATGTCTGCCCCGTAGGAGTAGAACTACTTCACATCCCCAAGTTAAGAGTTCAGGAACCCAGCTCAAACATGGCACTTCCTACCTGCAACGCGCGCCCTTAGATGTCCAGATACCACTTGGGAAGATCCTCAATGAAGAAGATTGCAAAATGGATAATTTTCGTCTACTAGAAAGCGTTGAAGCTTTTCTTTGTGGATGGAATTCTAGCTCATCTGATTCTCAGATGTCTGATTTAATTAGTTTTAGTCAGAGAATTTATGATAAGTCTCTAAATTCTGACGGAGAGATTCTGACTGGGTCCTTAATCTCCTCTGAAAATTTTCGTGGAACACCATTCTTGGAAGCTTTACTAGATAGAAGAACAAGAGATGGAGCCTTACTTGTAAAGAAATGGTTACAAGAAACACTGCGTAGGGATAATGTAACTTTGAATGTGAAATCTCGTCCTGGTCATGTTACCAGACAAGAATTGCAAGCTATGATCACAGCATTGGGCAGGAGCCAATCATCTTTAGTGAGAAACAAAGGAATCATTCAATTAGCTTCTGCCACCCTATTAACCCTTGAGGAATCAACTTCTGCCAAATGGGATGCATTTATCAGTGCCGAGAAGATTCTAAGCTCAAGTTCTGGAGAAACCAGTCAAAATCTTGCTGCTCAAATTGGCGATCTCATTAATAAGAGTGCTTTATTGGGATCACATAGAAATAAAATAAAGAAGGAGCTCTCACAGGGGGTATTTTCATTGCAAGATGCTTTGTTGTTGATGATTGTTGGATATATATGGGCTGGGGAGAATTTCCCAACATCTGGATCCGATGGACCATTCTCCTGGCAAGAGGAACATTTGTTAAAAGAGGCTGTTGTAGATGCCATTCTTGAAAATCCATCAGTAGCCAAACTCAAGTTTCTGGATGGACTAAGGGAAGAGCTTGAAGCTAATTTAAGCAAGTCAAAATCAGAAGAAACAACCAAGGAATCTCCAAAACTAAATATTGATGATTTTGATGATGATCAATGGGGCCATTGGGGTGATGAAGAAGCTGATGAAGATAACAAAAATGAGCTAGTGTATGATGACATGCAGCTGAAGTTGGAGTTGCGTGATAGGGTGGATCACCTTTTTAAATTCCTTCATAAGTTGTCTGGTTTGAAAAGAAAAAATATACCAATGAGGGATGGATCGTTGACCATGGAAACTAATTTTGTTGATGAGGCTTCCATGGGAAAAGGATTACTTTATAAGCTGCTAACAAGGGTGTTGGGCAAGTTTGATGTCCCAGGGTTAGAATACCATTCTTCCACAGTGGGGCGGCTTTTTAAGAGTGGATTTGGAAGATTTGGCCTTGGTCAGGTGATTATTCTCTCTTAACCTGTGCTGAAAACTACTTCAACGTTTGAATTCTTAAATTTTCTGACCATTCTCTCTCCCTCTCTCTCATTCTATATATGTAAATCTATTCCCCCTAACATTATCTCGATGAAAATGCTGCAGGCAAAGCCTAGTCTTGCTGATCAAAATGTCATTTTGGTGTTTGTGATTGGGGGCATCAATGGAGTTGAGGTAAAATCCTATCCGCGTCACTTCTATCCTTCATTTTACTTCTTCCCCAACTTCTTGGTGCCCTTTTGTGACTAGTGAGCACTTCTGGTTTGGCAAGGTGGTTATCATATTGCATTGAACATGCTGTGAACTTGACAAATTTTGTGCAGAAAAAATGACATCTTGTCTTTTCTCTCATCCTCTGAAGTTTCTTCTCCTGATTCTTTGTCTTATTCACTCTTTTTCTGCCAAAAGGTACGTGAAGCTCATGAAGCCTTGTCTGAAAGCGGAAGACCTGATATTGAATTGCTTGTTGGTGGAACAACTCTGCTCACTCCTGATGACATGCTTGATTTACTATTGGGGGAGTCCAGTTACGTTAGATCCTTTCATCAATAGAAAATAGAGAAAAATCTGATAGAAATTTGTTTTTCTAAATCCCGTATGATGTTTCTAATTTCAATTTTTTTATTTCTTCACAAAAGAAGTTAATGTTTTCTTTGTAGTCAAATTTGGCATTCTAAAGGTATGAATGAAATATGAAAAATTAGATTATGGTTGATAAGGGAGTATCACTTTAACCTGAATTTTGTACTTCAGGGAGAATGTATTCTTGCATCTTCTACTTCTGTCTTCACAGGCAAGCATCATGTTTGCAAGGTTATGCTATGCTATAATTGCGCATCTTGGCTGTAAAAAATTGGTCTCAATCCGATCCTTCCAAATTTAAATATTTTATTTTACTCTTTTAAAGATTATTTATTTTCACATTAAGTCCTTTCAGAGGTTATTACTAGAAATAGTTAATATCACGGTATGAATTTTATGATCTTTTAGTCTCTAATTACCTCTTAAATATATAAAGACCCTGCAATGTTTGTGCTAGGACTCGCTTGTGTTATAACTTGTCATGCCATAACATGTTCACTAAGTAATTAAATATTCAACGGTTAGATAAATTTTACGTTAAGTTATCTCATCAGATCATTAATTATTTGTTGATGAGTTTACTGTGATGGCAATTTTAAAAGATAAATTTTATTTTTCAAATGACGAAATGAGATTGTTGCTAGAAAAGTCTAAAAGCTAAATTTTTTTTAAAAAAAGGAAGTATTTCTAGAGGACCAAAAAGCTTATATTTTGTATTTTTCTTTTTGCTAATAAAAAAGTTTATATCTTATATGGGCTACTACTAATGATAATAATAATTTGTGCGGGCAAAAAATATCATAATAATTTGATTAAATATTCATTTTTGTCTTTTTTGACCAATACACATTCAGTGTCAGGACTTGGACTCGGGAGGCAGTCAACCGATCGATAACCATACTCTCCAACGATAGATTAGTCGGCAAAAAAAAAAAAAAAAAAAATACAGATCTATTGACCCGACTTCACTCTCTTGTCTCGAGCTCAGTGGGGCAGCCACCGAGCTTCTGTGCTTGCTCTAAACCTCCGAAAAGCCCTCTGGTGCCTTCTCCCACGAAGGCTTCCATACTCCTATGGCGGCCCTGAAGCTGCTTCTCTCTCAAGCTCGCCGCCATTGCCTCACCAGCCGTCATTCACATTTCCACTCTTCCCTTTTTCTTGGGTCTCGGAGATCCCTTTGTTCTTCTTCTTCTGCATCTTCTTCTTCCTCACAACCCGATGAATCGGACTCAAAACCTCCACCTCCAAGGGGACCCTCTCCAACCATTTCAATCCAACCCGTTTCATACCCGGTTAAACCTAAAGACCCGTCACCTCCAGATACCACTGAATCCTCCGAAGCTCCATTGCAAAATCAATCGCCGGCGCCACCACCTCCTCGCCTTCCACGAGGACCGACATTGACGGAAGATACCGCGGAATCACGGCGGGCTTGGACAAGGGAAGATATTCGGTATGTAAAGGACGCGCCTTCGATATCGCCGGTTTCCTATCCTTTGCGAGTGGCGCCACTTCCTGAAGACAAGGCTACTGCTGGTGCTGAAGCAGGAAAGGATGATGGCACGAAGGCCAATGAAGAAATTGACAAGGAGAGTAGAAAAATTAGGGCGGATGACCAGTTAAAGAGGAGAGTTATTAGAGTTGCGGAAGAGGAGAAGGTGCGGGTTCCTTTTCCGACTCTGATGAAGGTGAAGCAAAAGGAGAAGCCGCCTATTTTTGATTTGACGGAGGCAATTCGCCAAGTTAAGGTCAGGTGAAAGGTCTATTTTGAATAAAAACAAGATTTTTGTTTATTGCAAAAACATTATCAGATTAATAGATACAGGGGATCAGTTGAGTTGATATTTCTTTTACTCAATATTACTCAGTAAACTGGACTCTGGAGTTGCTAGCTCAGGCCCCAAGTTTAGTATTTAGTATTTGTCCTTGGTGCTAACAGAAGACAAGAGAAAAGTATGTATGCTTGTGGAATTGCTTCGATGGTTCTTCTGCAAAGCAAGAACTTAAAATGTCCATTGAAAACTGTTTAGTGATTTGTTATGAGAAACACTGAGGAAATTGAGGTGAAAAAATAGAGTTACTGATCGCTTGACAAGAAGGATATATCATTTTTGAGCATGGTATAGATGTCCATTATTTTTTTCTTTTGCAGCCATAGCTACTTCTACAGGACTTCTGATTTGTGGCTTGTTAAATAAAGGCTAGGAAGCACACATTTTTGAGACTATTTTAAATAACACTAGGTGGCTTTTTCTGTTACAACTTCTTGCACGTTGAAGCAGAGTAGAGAATGGTAGCCTGTATAGTTCTGCACATGGTATATAAACATTGGTGGTTCCCTGGTATTATAATCTGAAATATATTGCTAATTGCAATGAGAATCTGACATTTAATGCACTCAGTCATAAATATGTAGATGGAAAGGTGGATCATTTCTACTCATCTCTCTCTCTCTCTCTCTCTCTCTCTCTCTCTCTCATTTTAAACTTCTTTTTCATAGTCATGGAGATCAATTTAGACTTAATAGAATTAAATTGGAAGTATAAGAATGCCTTCGATGGACATGCGAATTTATCAATTTAAGCATGTATGTTTTGTTTATATTCTGAAGCAGTTTAGCTGGTGTGGCTTAGCTTGTCATTCTATCCACTATTTTTTGTGTGTCATCCTTGCACAGGGGCCATGCTAATCTTCTCTATATCATTCCAATTTTATCTGATGTCCCCGAAGGGACACTTTAGCATTATCTGTTTTAGAAATAAAGGCTATATTAACTAGGACTTGGAATAGTAGATGATATGTAGCTCACATGTGTGATACCCTATAATAAGTGATTCATTCTGTTTTTGTTTGCATTTTTTAAGTTCCGAATTTTTGGAGATTTGTATTCTTTGATTTTTAACTTATGTTGTTCAGGAGCATTGCATATTAATGGTGGTAAGCTACTTTTTTTTTTTTTTTGGGGAAAATCAAATCCAAGGACCTGTGACAAATGTTATTCATAGACAATGATCATTATATAATAGATTGTTGTTAAAATGAGAATATTGACTTGTTTTTGTTTGAATGGTGACTGGTTATTAATTTTTAACTACGAATAACTTTCTTCACAAGTTCTTTGGATGCGATTTTTCCTTTTTTTTTTTGTTTTAAATTTGAAGTTGACCATTGGTAACTTCATTCAATATCTTTGATTATTGTTCAGGCTAATGCAAAGGCAAAATTTGATGAAACTGTTGAAGTGCATGTAAGACTGGCTATTGAATCAAAGCGAACAGAACTGGTACATGCCAATATATCTTAAAATTTTTATTATTCAGTTTTGCTTCATTGTGTATGAGTTGTCTTAAAATTGTGTATGAGTTTTATTATTATTATTATTATTTTTGAATCAATCTTTATTGGGAGTTTTTCTCATTAATGCCTCCAAACAATAACAACAAGTCTTATTCCATTAGTTGGAGTCGGCTACATGGACTATATGACATCATTATGCTTTATCATTTATCAAGCTTTTAAAAATATTATCAACACTTTTGTAAGCTTTTTGTGCTTACCTGCTGCAAGCACTATTATTTGTTATTTTGTTGCTCATATTTCATTAGGAGATTACAATTTCAACTTTTTGGCAGGCAGTTCGTGGTACTATGATTCTGCCTCATGGTGCACCGAAGGTAATTTTTGGGTGTTTATTTATTCATATAGTTGTAGATTTGTCACCTAATTACACAGAGTTTCCAGGCCGTCAGTGTGGCTGTTTTTGCAGAAGGAGCTGATGCTGAGGAAGCTAGAGCTGCAGGAGCTGATATAGTTGGTGGTAAAGAGCTTATTGAGGAGATTGCTAGTAATGAACTATTCTCTTTCTCTCAGCAATGTTATTCATCACTTTGATTATCTTTATACTGTACTGATCAATTTACAAGTTATTTTTGTCTGCATATCCATGGGGATCGACTAGTATGTGCCCGTTAAGGCAAATATATGACTATTTTTGTTGATTGAGTGGTTGTATGCCTAGTTCAAGAAATGCCTTGACTAATACTAATAATTTAGTGGAGATTCTAATCATGATTGAGCGCCTTACCATTTGTAACTTGTTCTTTTGTGCTAAGAATATGTAATCTCTCAAGTACAATTTAGTGCATTAATCATTTTTCCATCCAAAAATCTAAATTATTATTGATCTTGTGCTTCCATAGATGGAAATAACAAGCTTAGAGTTGACAAGTGCTTCTCAACTCCAGGAATGGCACCTCATCTTGGAAAGGTACTTTGTAAATTAGAATGGTTAGATACCTGTAAAATCTAAATCAATGGTTACTTTTTTCTAGAGCTTATGTGAACTATTCTGCAGATAGCACAATATCTTAGAAAGCGTAGACTGATGCCAGACAAGAAAGTAAGCTTCTCAATACTTATTTGCACTTTATTATTATTGTTGTTGGTTGAAACGTAAATTATACATATTTAACTCTTTGACTGTATTAATATTTTCTGCAGCTAGGTACTCTGACCAATGATATTCCTGGGCAGTTGAAAGAGCTAAGACAGGGTCGTGTGGAGTTTAAAATGGAGAGTAAATCAATTGTGCATGCAGGAATCGGAAAGGTACAGTTTTTTCTTCCAGCTCATAATAGACGTCATATGATAAGGAATAGTTGGGTTACACATTAGATGTTATCTGCTATATACTCACAGTGATATCCACAGGTAAGCTTCAGAGAGGATCATTTACGTGAAAATGTAGGTGCATTCATGAATGCTCTATTGCTTGCCAAGCCTGCTGGCTTAAAGAAGAGTAAGTGGCACAGTTTTCATTGTTAAAAGTTTCAATTTCTTGGCATAATTAATAAACATCCCCTTTTCCTTAGACTTTGTTTGGAAAGTGGCTCAAGCTGGCTTAATATTATACTTGGTATTGCTTGAAACTTTGACAAGTGCCTTTGGGCCATATAGAGTTAGAGACTCCCAAACTGGGAGTCAACTTATAAAGACTTTCATTGGGGATCTGTCTGCAACCTGTGACAGTCTTACTCAATTATTATCCCATAAGGTTTAGGGAGAATTGCATTGCAATTAGGTCCCCTACAACATTGTTAAATACCACAAGGTTTATTAACTGTCATTTTATTATGCTCGGTGATTCTCCTGAAGGTTTACCTTGATTTATGGCAGCGCATTGCTGTTTTACTTGTAACTGTTTAGGAGTCCTAGAACTTCTAGAATTAGACTTACGTGGCCCAAATAGCTTGAGGTTTTTCTCTCTTTTTTTCCCAAAAAAATAAATTAAAAGATTTTGTTGGCAGAGACCGATATTAGTTTGGCACTACCATTATCGTTTTCGTTTCTCCTTCACATTACGTGATTTGATATGATTACCGAGTGTATGTTCCAAGTTGAATTCTATCTTTTTATCTCATATTAGTCTTATTTGCTGTTCAGCTTCAAAATATGCTGGGTATGTGCTATCTGTCCATATGTGCAGCACGGTGAGCTCATAAACCTTTACCTTTTTTTCATTTTTATATGCTGCTTATTAGTTGATTTGAAGATATAAACTAGCTATTTCATTCTTACTGTTACTAACTGCTAATGATACTAAAATAAACGTTGCCAGAAATAATTATTGTAAAGCATGGATCTTATTTAAGTGTTCTGTGCAATGGGACATGGGAATAGCTGTTGACTGTTGAGGCTATTCCAACACTACATTAAATGTTTCGCGAGAAAAGTAGCTTTTTTTAATGTTCTTCACTCGCAAGCATTTTTAACAGCTATAATCTTCTTATCGAGTGTTCCTAACAGTCTAAACTACCTCAAATTACATATAGAACCTCATTTAAGTTAGTGGATAGTCTCCAATATGACAAATAAGACGGTGAAAATATTCGAAAAGCTGCCAATCAAGCGATTTCCGGTTTTTTTCTTCTTTTTTCTTTTTTTCTTTTGGTCATCATATTGCTGTGAAAAAAGGCTATAAAAAAAAAAAAATCAGTCAAAAACGTGGACGCTGCCTTCTTGCTATCACAGCATTATCACATCAGACTTGCTTCAATAGGGATGCTGGAGCCTTGCGTGAATCTGTAATAATATTTGAGTAAGGAATTGGCAACAAGACGTGAGCTTCTGCCTTGAAACATCTAATCATATTTTAAACTCCATGCACCGGCATACAATTAATTAACCTATTTCAAGTGTACCAGTCTATCTGCTGTACCCATCATGGTAACTTCCATTAAGTGAAGAAAAGTTGATAAAGAGGAAAAAAAACCTTTACTATTGACTGCACCACGGATTTTTTTTTTTTTTTCACAATCAAGATTCTTCTATCTTGGGTTGGCAAAAATTTATTCCTGTTTTCTTTCTTTCAAATAACTCTGTTGAATGGCAATGTTGCAGATGGGCCCAGGATTCCCTGTTTCAATACAGTCCTTGTCAAGAGCAGCAGATAACTACAAGTCTCTGAATCTGGTATGATGTGGCCTGAGGCAACTTCAGGCTTCAAGCATCAAATCATAGTTTTGATCAACTTATTTTGGATTTTTTTTTCTTTTTTTATGAACTTTATCTTTTCATCAATCATATTTTTTTCTGTAACGTTGCTTAATGCCGTGCGATATATGTGACAATTGATCAACTAGAATTTCATTTTTGACAATTTTTGTAAGCTTGTAGCATGTTAGGCTTTTATGGTAGTTTCAGAATGACCCCTTTGAAAATATAATATGTCAGGATTAAACTCAATTCAAAGGGACAAGTCTAAGTTATTGAATCTTGCAGCTTGGGCTATCTGATAAGCCACTCTTGGGGCACGTACCATCGTAAATAAAATTTTCTTGGTTGCTTGTTATAATTATTATGTACATAAAATTTAAGAGGCAGTTTGATATGCCGATGTTTTATTTTTGATATTGCGATATTCGAGATGTTAGACTGGTCAGTGTTCATTATATGAGACATCCATGTGTCAATGTAAAAGTTGCCTCGGGGCGCTTGCATTGTTTTTGTATATGGTCGCTTTTGTGAAGTCTCTCGCTCACATCATCGTCATCTACTGTAACAAACGGAAATTAAAAAAAAAAAAAAAAGCAAATGAGGTGAAGCATAAATTTTTGAAGATAATAAAAAAAAAATACGACTAAATAGTAGTGTGTGTGTGTAAAATATTCATTTTCTTGATACCATCATCTTGACGCATCAAACTATGTAAAAAAAGTGAAGTGTGTGAATGGGGTTTTCTTAGAAGTATGCTCCTTCATCTTATTAAATTACTTCTATCAACTTTACTAATATTAATGTAAACAAATAAAAGTATATAAAATTTTAAATATGTTCATATAAAAAAATTTTAAAAATGATATCATATTATTAATTTTAAAAATATTTTTAAATATTATTTAAAAGAGCACATCATAATTTATAAATAACATTAAATAGATTTTTTTAAAATGTGTTTTATAAATGGAGGTGGAGAGAGTATAATTTATCCACACTGTAGGTTTTAAAGAAAATTCTTTTGGTAACTGTTCAAAAACTATGGTTACGATATAATTTTGCTTTTGTACTTATTATTTAGGAGTATTAGGTACTTTATACTTTTAAATGAGGTAATTTTATTTTTAAATTATTTTTTTGAGGAACAAAAAGCTTCTTTTGTTAATAAACCATTAACTCTATCATTATATGCTAACGTGACATGTCTATGAGGCTCATGTACAGTGATAGGTATGACTTTAATTATATCTTTTGTTGCTAGATTGCCTCGAAACTCTTTTTAAGAACGTTGAGTATCTTAAAATATTTTTTTAAGAATACTAGATACCTTAAAGTCTTATTAAAATAAAATTTAATAAATATTATTAAAATATTAAGTATTTTACTATTTAATAATTTAAATATTATTATTTAAATATTACACTACTCAATTTAATATTTTATAATTTTTTATTAAAATGAAGGGAATGAACTTCCAAATTAATGAAGAAATTTTTTCTTCTTATCTTTTCATTTTTTTTTGTTAAGTAACTTTTTTGTAGGACATTAATGAAATAAATAATATATTTTAAATAAATATTTCTGTTGTCATTTTGTTGGTCCTGATCGTCATATTTTTTATTTTACTCCTAACACTGTAACGTATAGAGAGTATTAAATTTGGATAGTGTAATATTCTAAAAAAAAAATCGTTACTTGATCAAAAAAATTAAAGAACTTAATCAATATTAAAAATATAAGTAAGTTTCAACACGTACAAAAAGCAAAACGATTTAGGCACTATCTTGAAAAGAAGATTGAATATCGATATATAAAAAATAAGAAGTCATCTATAAATTTATAAAATACTGGTTTAAGTTGTTAATATTTAAAAAGTAATTTATAAATTTTGAATGAATATTTATAAATAATAATATTTAAATTACTAAATATGAAAATATTTAATATTTTGACAATATTTATTAAATTTTATTTTAATAAGACTATAGGGTGCTCAATGCTTCTAAAAATAAACTTAAGGGTGTTCAACACTCCTAAAAAAAAATTAAGGATAAATTAGCATAAAAAAACGTGGTCAAAATTTTACATGTCACTGTATGTAAACTCTATGCACATGCCATATCAGCATATAATGGCAAAATTAACAATTCATCAATGGAGGGGCTTTTTGCTCTTCAACAAAATAATATAGGGGTAAAATTGCTCCATTTAAGAATATAGAATGTTTAGCATTCTTCCAGATAAATATAGAGACAAAATTGGATTTTAATTTTAAAAATTATGTTAACTCTTGAATTAACTATTATGACATTTTCTAATCAATTTTTTCTTTTTGTTCTTTTATGAGCCTGTTTGGATATGCTTTTGGAATTGATTAAATGCACCAAAATTATGCTTTTAGTAAAACCCACCCAAATACTTCCATTTTTATCTAATGGATTATTTTAACCCAACCCACGATTTGGTTTAAGCTAGAAAGAGTAGCTTCTAATAATTGATCATGTCTTCTGGAGCAATTATTGTCTGTGAAAAATTGTATTCTACCAAATAAGACCATCAATCGTGTGCAACATGAGAATGCTTCTTGCACAAAATCAAAGACAATTCTTTGCCACGATCTCCATCTCTTCTCTGCTGCGACATCGTCTCCTCATACCAACGTCCTCCATCGTCCGACTTCATCAACAAGCCTCTCCTTCCTCATATGGTGTGGCATCCTCTCCTTCCATCGTGTCTTCATCATCTTCCTTCAACTTTTTCCGATTTAATTCAGTGGTCCTCTACTGTGGGTGCTCCTTAGTGACACCCTCTATACTACGAGGATAATATAATATACATGTTAAATCTTAAAACCATTGTCCTTTATTGTAATTTACAAATCTAAAATTGATTTTCACTGAAATCATCTAAACATATTTAATATTATCAAAATCAATTTTAAAAAATAATATACAAACATAATTACGTTATAACACAGTAATCAATTATGCCCAAATAAAATTCAAGCACACCCTATATTTTTATATGAAATGTACACTATTTTAAGAAAACTTAACATTTTTTATATTGAACTGAAATAAAATTAATTTTTTAGATAACGAAATGATGAAGTGATAATAAAAACTATGCAAATTATTTTTTGAAACATCAAAGAGAAATCTTTATTGGGTAAAATTTTCGTACATAAAAATAATTAATGTTCAAAGTCATATATCAAATAAAATTTATAAAAATCATACATATTATTTATAAATTACAAATATGGTTAATCTCAAACTTTTGATGCATAAAAGAAAATATATTCAGTACAAAGAATCATAGTTTTCATTGTACTGATTATATCAAAAAATATAAAATATTGTTAATTAAATTTTATTTTTAATAAAGCAGTTATCTATTTTTAAACTAACCATGTCTTTTTATATTTATCTCTATTAAACATCCTATAATAAATATAAAGTCATTATCAATAGAGGCATTTTAAAAAAAATGATAATGAATTCATTTCAAAAGATAAAAAATACTTTATATTTTTTAACATTTAATTTTTTAAAAAATATTTTATATTTTTAAATAAAAGGAATAAGTCATGAGCATAAATCAAATATATATATATATATATAATATGGCTCAGTTTTTTACCTAAAAAAAAAAAATTATGGCTCACTGAAACAGGGAAGTACAGGCCGTTGTGGATGTCAGCGTGATTGATTGTACGTTGGTACCCTTATTAGTATTATTTTTCCCTCCTGCGCACAGCTATTTTCTCGTTAGATGTAACTTTGATGAAAACACGTTCATATTAAATATGAGCACTTATTTTTAATTAATACTTCTATTTTATTTATAAAATATATTTTAAAATATTATTTAATTTTATTTATATGTTATGATGTAATTTTTTAAATTATTTTTTATGAAAAAAATAATTTGATATTATTTTTTAAATTTATTATATATAAATATATTTAAAATTTTATTTAATTTTTTATATTTTTTAAATTTATTATATAAAAATGTATTAAAAATTTTATATATTTTTTTATATTAATAATAATGAGATTGATAAAAATAATTAAAAAAATATTATTATATTAATGATGAATGAAGTATGCACGATCAGTTTATGTTAAAAAATAAACGGTGAGGCAGAGAGAGATGGGTGAGTGTTGTCTTATTATCAACGTTCAGGTAAATGAATAGTAGCCACCACCACTGTTCCTTTACTCTCTGACGGCTTCGTCCAATCACTAATCATTACTGTCAATTCTGCCCCCTCTCCTTTTTTAATCCTCTTTCTTTACCTCTTTTTCTTCTTATTTGTTCAATCATCCCATTCTTTTTCATTCTTTTTCTCATTAGCCCCAATTTTTGCAATTCCTTGCCTCTACCTCTTCAAATTTCGCTCTCATAATTTGATTTTGGCTTGATATGATCCCCACAATTTCAAAACAAGTTTACTGTTGATAGATGTGATTATATTTATAAATAAACAAATATTTATGCAGACTGACTTATTGAAATAATCATTGTGCAATTTATTTATTAATTATACTAAAATTTTATCAATATATGTTCCCGTCTTTGAAATTTTTTCTTAAATTCTTTCTTTGTTATATTGATTTATTTGCTCAAAGTATCTTGTTTTGATAGATTATTTTATAATATTTATTTTTTATTTTCCTTAATTTTCCTTTTAGTAAAGCGACTAGCGTAAAAATTCATTTAAAAATGCAGACTAAATTTCATTCCCAAAAAAAAATAAAAAATAAAAAAGACCTAGTGGTAAGAGAAAGAACGGGCTGCTTCCAGCGCAGCATGGCAAAATGCCAAAGTATAACAATTTTAGGACCAAAATGCAAAATTCACTTTTATTACTAATCTCCCCGCCACAAAACGAGTAGAGGGAAGGAGGTTTTGAAGTTCGAAGTTCCACATTCTGCTTCTCTCTCTTTCTGACATTTCCATTCTCGCATTCCTCAATCGCTTAGGGTTCTCTTCCTCACTTTCTTTTCCCCACCCACTGGAAAATTTTCTTTGGATCATTGTAAAATGGAGACGGATGATGAGTATAAGAGGAAGGCGGAGATCGCTTTGGTAGTCATTGTGGTGCTTGCTTCCCTTGCCGTGGTTGCTTTGCTTGTTGCACTCAGCTACTATTGCTACATCCGCAACAAAGTCGCCCAGCGCCGCAAGAACCGGAAAGGTGAGCTACATTTTCCGTCTATGAATAATGATCTCTCTCTCTCTCTCTCTCTGTTTTATTTTTTGTTGGCT